GTGATGCTTTGCAGGTTTATTTCTCTGCTTTTGCTGCAAGCGGCTGCAACAACACCTGCGATGCCTCGCTCTCAATAGCAGGACTGTTGGTAGCCCTCCGTGCTACAAACACGGAACGGGGGACCTAGAAAGGAGAGCAGCAATTGAAGAAAACGCAAATGCAGGATAATCCAGCTATTTATCGTTTGATTAACTTATTTTTGTGCTGCAGTGAGACACAGGAGAGTAGCCCCCCAGAGTAATGAACTCCCAGTGTCTGGGGCCCAACTTCCTCCGGTGGGCGATGAATGATTAAAACTCAACAGTCAATGTCATGGGAATTCAACGAAGAAATAAATAAAGATATATTCTGAATTTCGGTAGCAGAGGTTACCGCGTGAGGTGTCGTCTCCGCAGAGAGCAGCTGCAGCCCTTGTTGCACCCCTGCTAATAAACTGTTGTTGTGTTGCTCTTGAACAGCAGAACACCACCAGGTGTATTAGCACTTCAGCTGCAGCATATAACAATACGAGTCGCTGCAATCATTACTTTTGCATACACGAGGATATTTCGTTTTCTCTTTTGACTATGCCCACCGAAACCCGCATCGTTTGAACCGCTTCTCCTCTGCCCTTTCTGCATCGTCGGCGAGCCCGTTCTCACCCTTCTTTCATTAGACTCTACTGGCTAATAATAATATCACTCCTTATAACTTTTCTAATTCTTCTGTCGCTTTTTATACATTCAACTCCGCGCTTTCTTGTAGGTGAGTGTCGCCAGCCAGCCCCCTGCCGCCTCCCTCATGCCGCCGACGCTCTCGGTGGATTGAATCTGTCTCGGGTTTACTCCTTACTGTTTCTCGCCTGTCTTTAAAGCGACAACAGAACGAAAAAACACAACAATTCCTTATTCCGCTCATAACAGACGACAAAGTCAGAGCCCTCAGAAGGGCCTCAACACGAGGCTCGACCGGTGCTGTGAGCTGCTGCGTCAGCTGCCTGCTGCCGCGACGACATCTGTGCAAGGAGAAGAATACGCTGCAAATGACTGCGCATCAGCGCAAACGTAAGACAGGAGGGGGTGCTGGCGAGTCAACATATCACCAGCGACAGCAACACCAACACCACCAGCAGCATGAGCAGCAAGCAACAGCTTCAGACTCTGTCTCAGGGGCTGAGGAGCCCATGTCGCCTCGTAAGACTCACAGCAACATCGGCAAAAATGCACGAAAGAACGAGAAGGGGCAGAACATGAAGAGTGTATTCTCTAAAGCTGCAACTCTCGATATGTCTGATGCTGAAGATGCACAAACTTGGTGAGCGGTCGTTGAAGTCTTTGCAGCAGTTGCAGTGTTTGCTGCCTCTTTAATGTTAAATGAGAAAACCCCTACAATAGACCCTGTAGTGTGCACTTAAGAGAAGCGCGGTGCTTGTATCTAAGCATCTCGCTGTTAATGCAAATACTGCTACACACGAAGCAAGCTTAGGGATACAAACGCAGCAGCACACGACAGTAGCAGCAGCAGCATCAGCTCCAGCACAAACTTTCCTCTGCGTGCGGTGGAAACCTCCACTCCGCAAGGGGCCCCATTCCCCCAGGATGGCCTGAAGGGGTCCCCGGCTCGATCGGGGGGTATTTGAACGCGTATATTCCTTATATGATGCATACTTAGGTAGTATTGTGCTCTTATTGTTGTTTATTGCATTATATGCTGTTTGATTCATCAAGCGCTTCGTCCTGCATCTTGTGCATTTTCTGCATTTGCTTCGGTTGTTGCAGGTCGGGGTCTGGTGCCCCCCTGTTGAATGCAGCAGTTGAACAGGACCGAGTACGGAAGGAGAAGGAAAAGAAGAAAGCAAAAAGAGAGCAGCAGGTGCGGGTGATGATCGCGCTGTTGGGGTTTTGCTTCTCCGGCGATTTTCCATCGATGCACTCCGTATTTAATATTGTTGTATTTGGCAACACATTTACAAGAAAATACTGGCAAATTCGCTTGCGGGGGCAGAGTGCAGCGGCGCGAGCAACGATAGATACTGTGCAACAACAGACACATGGAAAGTTTCTTAGGGGCCCCCAGGCATTGGCGTTAGGGGGCCCCTTAGGGAGTGAAGGCCGCTGCAACACTTCACGGAGTTTGAAATGCAGTGAATTGCATCTGGTGCTGCGTATGTTGTTGCTGCTATCGTTATCTGCTGCTGCAGGATCGCAACAGGAGTAACAGGGATAGCCACGGCAAGCAGAAGAAGGCGACGAAGGGCTCTCCTTTCTCTCGATTGCTGCACTTCTTCACAGGCGGAGACTTTCGGTCTTGGCTGATGTACTCTCTAGTTATAGTTGGAATCGTGGGTAAGGCTGCGGTGCACATTGCTTGGTGTATAGGCACCTCTAGTGCATTTTCTTCTTCGCTGGTGTTGGCTGAAGGCGGCACCTTGTAGGACGCCGCGTAACATTTACGAAATAAATTTCATAAATTCATAAAATTAATTGGTGAAATTGATCAGTTTAATAAATAATTAACCCTCTCTGCTTTGACTGACTTCCTAGGCATCTTTGTACTGAAGGCGCTAGAGGAGTACTACGGAATGGACGGTGATGTCAGTGGGGAGCAGAGGCTGCAGCACTTGAGTGTCCTCGGCCTCGAGGACGGGGCCTCGGAAAGCGACATAAGAAGATCATACAGGACGTTGTCTGTCAGGTGGTGAGTCAGTAGTAGTTGTTGTAGTAGTTAGGAGTTAGTAGCACTGCTAGTAGTAGTACTCGAAGTATTAGTACTTGTTAGTATTTGTAGTAGTAGTATTGGCAAGTAGCAGATGTACTAGCCGTAGTAGCAAGAGCAGTTGCAGTAGTAGTAGTTCGTAGTCCATACATAGTAGTTACCGGCGAGTAGTTTGTACTAAGCACTAACTAAGGTATGCTGTAAGTTGTAAGCATAGTAAGTAGTAAATACTGAGTAGCAGCAGTAGTAGTAGTAGTCATTTGGTTCTTCACGCCTTTACACCAAAGGAGGAATATTATAATTCGCTGAGGCAGAGAAAGAGACAAAAGAAAAGAACGGAAACTTCCGGTCGTGGCGGATGCACTCTTTAGTCGTAGTTTGAATCGTCGGTAGGGCTTTAGTGTAGGGTTTAGGGTTTAGGGTTTAGGGTTTGTGGTTTATGGTTTAGGATGTAGGGTCTATGTTGTGTATGCAGGCATCCTGACCGGTACCCAAACTGCGGTGCGAGCTGCCAGCAACGGTTTCACGAGATAGCAGCAGCTTATGAATATCTGATGAGAAAACAGAAAAAGTCAAATGTCGATGATGAAGATGGAGGAGGCGAGGGATCACAAGGCGAAGAATTCACAAATTTAAAAATTACATCTCAGGGGATCGTCGACTTCTCGAGTTTGGGTCCCAATGATGTCTTTCCCCCAACAGCAGACACAAAGAACGTTTGGTCCATCATGGTAAGCTGCACCTTTATATATATATATATATATATATATATATATATATATATATATATATATATATATATATATATATATATGCGCATCCGACTGCAGTAAAAGCAACACATTCGTGGTTGTACTTGACTTGCTTCACACCGATTTCTTCAGTGACTCTTTGCACGTGCAGAGTTTTCAACATTTTTCTGCATTTTGTTGCAGCTTAGGAGAATGGCTAAAGAGCCGGTCCCGACAAGTACAGCATAAATCTCAACATGTGGTGTCTGCTGTTTATCTGGTTGTTCAGGTTCACCAGGACAAAGACGATTGGAGCCAGTCGGTGTACGAGATGTGGCAGGAGTCATGTGCGTGCAGCCACTGCTTTCCCTGTTTCATATGAACTGGTGTTGCTCGCGCTTGAAGGTTTCCTGATGCAGTATTGTGTATTGCTGGCAGCTCCTCTTGCATCGTTGCTGACGGTATACAGCAGCGGCATTGTTGTTGTGTTCTTATTTCTGCTTGTTTGTATCAGCACGAGCATTGGGAAAGTACGTAAAGTTTGGAGTTATTACCATTCGCGGGAGGAGCGGCAAGGATGCGCTGAAGAAACTGCCCATCAATGTGAAGTGCGCAGCTAACACCTTCTTCCCCCCTTTCAGGTTTCTGTGCCTCTCCCATTTAGCCATAGATCCCGGCAGCACAACGACAATAGAGAACAGCCACCCTTCTTTCGAAACAACAGGCATATAGAATATGTATTTAGAATACTAAACGCCAATTATCTCGTCGACTTTCCTTTCGTTTGCTGCTCCAACGTCCTCAGGATCTTCCCAGCAATTCTGCTGCTGACTGCCGGCATGCACCCGGAAGTACGTGGCGAGGTTTGGGTTCCATTTCAACCAATAGTTTCATGCTTTTGCAGCTAGAGTTTGCCATTGCAAGGGCAGTTTGTCCAGTGGCGTGCCAGGCAGCTAGCTAGCTAGCTAGTTAGCTAGGAAAAACACAACTGAGGAGGCACAGGGGCATGCAAGCACGAATGGGGTTATTTTGCATGCGTTGTAATGCGCAGCAATATCCAAGTCTCTCACGGCCTTCTGTGGATTCTCTGAACCGGTTCATCGCCGACGCGTTCCCTACGACTCTTGATATTGTTGAGAGCGGTCAGAACAAAAACCCACGATTATGCAGAAACCTTAGTGAAGATTTCTAGCCAGTGCAGTGCATCGCCCTCGCTTCTTATTATAAACTAAAAATGTAGTAACACATTAGCTTTTCGGCGTATTAGGTAGCAACGCAAGCCTTGTTTTGGGCTGTGAACGTCTACACTTGCACAGATATACCGTCTGCAGCTCAATGATTGCACGGGGTTGATCTGGTATTTGTAATTGCTCTCAGAGGCAACAAGATATAAGAGAGTCTCCGTGACTCTCGCTTGTTGGTTGTTTGTGAATTCTCTATTGCATTTGTCTATACTGCAATGCGTATTTGTTGTTTCAGCTCGGGAGTTGAAGTCGTGGCTGGCGTCTTCGTCTTCTTCTCAGCCTTTGGCTGCGCAGTACAAAGTTGTAATTGTGCCTTCGGCAGCCTCTGCCAGCAAGCCTTCGCTTTTGGTGAAGCACGCAGCTTTCTCGAACAAGCACCTGTTTAACTTCTGTTTCGTTTCAAACACGCGCTCTGTGTTGACGAAGGAAAAGGAAGAGCTACTCGCAGTTCTTAAGAACCCCCCAACCTGGGTCCCCCAACTGTCTGCCGACAGCGCAACAGCAAAGGCGCTGCGGCTGCCGCTGCACTCAGAAGAACTCCGAGAGAATGATTTCGCCACAAACTCAAACGCTTTACTTTTCGTAGACGAAGGCAGAGGCGTCAGCCGCATGCAAGCAACGCTGCAAACTGCTCGCTCGAAACTCCTCAACCCGTCTACTGCTCTTTCTCTGGCTCTCGAGAGGTTCAAGGCGGTACGCCAAGGGGAAGCAGTTGTTCTCTTGATGCATCCTCTGCACTTGTGCATTTATTGTTTCTGAACTGAACTTTGGGTCGAGGGTTTAGGGTTTATGTTTAGGGTGTAGGAAGACTTAGGGTTTGCGCTTTCACGATCTCGCTACATGGGTGTCTTCTTTGGACGTGCTGCAGAACGTTGAACCTTTCCTTTATCAGCAAAATAGCTCATCGCTCTGCAAGGGATCGCTGCAAAGACGGGTGTTTTGCCTCGTAGCTGTTGAACCAGAGGAGGGAAAGACCGATGCACAGACGAAGAAAACGCACAAGACGCTCGACTTGGCGAGGATTAGGCAGCTGCTCCAGGCTTCCAAACAGAAGTATCTTGCGGGTATATATATATATATATATATATATATATATATATATATATATATATATATATATATACATATATATATATATATATATATACATGCATACATGCATATCCAAATATATTTGCAGATGCATGTACATAGATATATCGAGTTCATAGGGGGGTTCTTGAATTTCTCGCGCTCTTAGCACTTCATCGTTGCGCGAATCAGCAGCTCTTGATGCACCATGCTTGACAGTGCAGTTGACGTCGGCGTTTCCTGACGGCTCTCCAAATTTCTAAAAGAGCAAAAGTATGCAGCGCTCGTAGCGTCTTGATTTATTTCATCTTATGGTTGCTGTGAATGATGCATTGTTCGTCATTTGGTGACTCAGATAACCCACGGAAAAACCTGGAAGCCGTCTGGGAGCGGGCGGTGCAGAAAGCACGAGACCACGACAAGTCAAATCCTCAGAGGGGGGATAGCGAGTCTGGAGATTCAACTTTCTCAACGAAAGAGCCCGATGACCTGCATATTGAGCAGCCAGATGATATTGAAGAGGAGATCATTCACGTGCAACTCGTGCGTAATATTACCACGGATTCATTCACGCTAGGTTCACATTTCTCAAGGCAAACGAACAGCAGATCAACAGAGCATGCCGCCAGCACATGAATTGTTGAACCTTTCATGAGCTGTTAACTACCAACATAATGAAACGATCGGAAAGCGATAAACCCAAGAATCCCACATATATATATGTATATATATGTATAAATTACATATAAGTTGATGCATGTCTATGCATGGAGAGGAATGTGTTTTTTCTGCTTCAGGTACGCGTGTCTGTAGGGCGACCGTTCGCGGTGCCATCTCTGCCGGGTCTGCCCAAGGACTCGCAATTCAAAAGATTGATGAATGAAGAGCTGGAGGATGCACCAATTTTCTTACTTGATTTGGAAGGGTCCCGCGTAGCACCTGTGCCTGCTTTGTATGTGGGGGAGGCGGGTGCCTCTGGCGAGGGGGCTGAAGCTCTGTATTCTCGTATTTATCAGATTCTTGATGAACTGCAGAACGCTACAGACGAAGACGAGGACGCTAAGATCTCCTTTTCTGAATTACCAGAATACTGCGCAGGGCAAGAGTTCGCAAAAAGATGTCTAGCCAGTGAACAGAAGCCTTGGTGGTCCTTCTTCCAGGCGGGGAGTCTGTGGATTCAGGTTAGCACCAAACTCACTCTGCGCCCCGGTTGCCGTGATAGTTTACACCAGCTACTCGCTTTCCTTGGGATATATATATATATATATATATATATATATATATATATATATATATATATATATATATATATATAT